TGTGTCTAACCCTTATACTAATTCTTCTTTGATTGGTGTGATTTGTTTCGACCAATATTAAATAGGAAAAATTGAAAATAATAATCCCAACTATTGTCGGTCCGCTAACAATAATCCCAACTATTGATTACTTTTGTATAATCCCAACTATATGGACCACCCGCCAATAATGGTCCATGACCAAATATTACCTTCTATAAAAGTGAATTTTAAATAGAAATTAAGCGTAAAAATTAAAAGTTAAGATTATTTATAGAGATTACTTGTTATATCTCTTCTCATCCACTTCAGAAAGTACATGAATTTATTTACAAGGACTCTTATTGGCGGAAGGACCCTAAAGTTGGGATTATTCTAAAATAATCGATAGTTGAGATTATTATAAGCGGACCGCCAAGCCAATAGTTGGGATTATTACAATCAATTTTTCCTATTAAATACTACGTATTAATAAGTGCTCCTCTTTCGAAAATAAAATAAAATATGTACTCCTTCAGTCTTGAAGAAAATTACATTTTTATCGTCTAAAATAATCTCTTGCTTCCTTTTTAAAAAAAATAATGTGTACTCTCTTAAGGTACCATTTGATGGTACCATTTCTTTTGGGTACGTATATTAAGGAGGTGTATGGAAACTCCAAATGTGCCCTTATCCCCCTTATCTTCATTTCCCTTCCCGGTGCCGATCAACTAAAGCTACCTAGGGGTGAGCAAAAATACCGAACCGACATGGTACCGAACCGGACCGGTATGGTACCGGACCGATAAACGGGGTTTGAAACGGATCTCAAATTTTCGTGTCCCGAACCGGACCGAACCGGTTCCAAACAATGTCATGACCGGTTCTCATAAAATGAGAACCGGTACCAGACCGAACCGGACCGAAGTATGGTTTGTTAAATTTGTACTACTACAGTTTATCTGAAATATATTAATCACCTCGTCTGTCCCAAATTGATTTGCAAAGCGAACATTTTTTTGTCAAAGTTAATGTTAAGTCCTCCCTAATGATAATTAATACGGAGTACAATTTTTAATAATACAAATTTACATATTTAAAAATCACATTAAAATCTCTCTAAAGTTCCAAAATCCAAATTAGAATATACGAAGTACGGAGTACTTTTTTTGAAAGGCCAAATTAGAATATAATTAAAAAGTGAAATCCTAATTAAGTGAATAAAAAAAATTGTTTGGCCAAAAAAAGATTGACTTTGCAAATCAATTTGGAACGAATGTAGTATGAAATAAGAAAATTGATAAATTGTGTGGATTTTTGGAGTATGGCTAAACTTTAATTTTTTCTTAAACACCTGGAAAAAGTGGCATTGTTTTGTATTGGTATGACATGGTACCGTCCCGTTTTAAAATGGACCGTACCGAACGGGTTTGGGTCTAAGACCGAACCACACCGAACCGTTTCAATAGTAATGGTACGGGTACGGGTTCGGCCAAATATTGGACTCACATTTCAACTACATCGTTTTTTCCCTTCTCATATTTGCGCTCAGTAGCTTCTCCATGGAGTCCTCACCGTCACGGATTGGGATCCTCTACCCGACTAGGAGGGTGCCTTGCGCATCGGACGGGAGGGGAGCGGCCAACACGACCTCGAGATCGGCGAAAAAGTGGAGCCCAAGATCTCCGACCGTTGAATTGTCGATCGGACGACCGGGAGGAAGCAAGGCACTCTACCTTACTCTAAAGTAAGGTAGAGGCTCTGGATCCCACCGTCACTGCTTTTTCCATGGAGTCCTCCCTTGGTTTGTGTCTAGCTCTGGAGTTTCTTCCGTAAAGGGAAACAAGGTACCATCAAATTATGACTCACATTTCAACTACATCGTTTTTTTCAATGGCTTTATTTATGATCTTCGAGTGTAATTTATCTAGGTAATAAATAAAAGAAGAGAAAACAATATTTAATGAAGGAATGGTTGAGGCTTTCAAAATTCAAATCAATACAATAAGTTTAATTCAAGGCAGAGGGGGTAATATATTTGGTACCTGTAGATAAGCGGTGTGTTAATTTTGTTAATAAAAAATTCATTTTCTAGTACAATTAAGTTGTTTTTTGTCACACCCATTTTTTCTATAGTTTTTTTTTACTAAAATTTACTCCGTATGATTTATTACTCCGTATTATTTATAATTCCATATCTATAAATCTAAAAATTAGTTATGTATGCACTTATTTATAAGAGATTTACATGCATTAAATAATTAATCTTTGTATCATTGTATATTGGGGTTTTCATTAAATATTACGAATAAAATTATTATGAACAAAAATGTGACTTAGTACGTAATTATTAGTTACTATAATCATGTTCAAAATTTATAACTTATATTAAGTTACTACAGCTTCGCAGTTCTTGTGCATTTAGAAAAACAATTTGCAATTACTTAATCTCCCGAGTTGATAATCACTAGTAGAATGCAATTATAATGTAATTCAATGATTAATTAAGGAAACATACCGTTTTTAAAAATGTACATGTGCACAAGAGACAATCGGTAACCGGCGTCTAGACTACCTGAGCTGACCGATGGAATCGATCTCCAACAGCCTATATCTGATTATGAAATACATAAAAATAAACATTAAAAAGATTAGAAACTCAACATTTAGGTACAAGAGATCATGTTAGATAAATTAGAATTGTAATGCATTTTTAGTAGGGGAGAACTCTTGACCGCTAGTTTTAGAGTACATCGCACTAGACAAGCCATGTGTGATATAATTGAACATCAGGAGAAAAATACTGAGAAAGTATATAGTTAAAATTGCTTTCTCAGTTGAAACTGGACTCTTTCAAAACTTTCTAAAAACTGATTTCATTATAAAAACGGAAGAAAATGATGTACCAATTTCAAAATGAAACTATACATCTTCTTTCCCAAACAAACAATATAGAAACACATTGACAAAAAATACAATTTTATACAAAAAATACAATTTTATACATCAAACCTTTAACTAAAGAGGGATTAAATACATCAATACTTTGTGTCTTAAGAGATGCAAGGTTTTTAGACTTTCAAGACTCCATAATAAGTTATGTGGAGTCTAGTTTATGTCAAGGACCAATTCACTTTCAATGTTATCCAATTTTTTACTTACCTTTAAAAGATCCAAACATCATAAAATCTCTAATTTTATAAATTAAAACCCATAACTACCAAATGCTACAAGGATCTATTCCTATGGCAATCATCTTTAGAGTACATTATAAAGCTATGTTGTCAGCCTTTACTACATCAAAAAACGTTGAAAATAAAAAAGGTGAAACCCTGTTTTTACAAACTGGCTTTTCTAAATCAAACTCGTACTGTTATTCCCAAAACTATCCTTTGAAAGGATATTGATCTTCCTGAGGAATGGATTTTGGAAGGAGTCAATGTAACCAAGTCTCCTAAACAGTCCAGACCAAACACTCATTTGAGGGAAATTGTGCAGTATGATGGAGGAGTAAAATTAAGTTTTACTAGAAATTCCAACGCCAAAAAGGTCGTTGAGACAGATTCATCCGATTTAGGCTATGCAGGTATTCTGGAACAAAATACAAATGAAAAAGAATACATTGTTCAATTTACATTTGCGCACTGGAATGATTGTCAAAAGAACTATTCTACCATTAAAAAAGAAATTCTTTCAATAGTCATGTACATTACAAAATTTCAAAGTGACTTACTTAATAAAAAAATTACTCCGCATTGATTGTATATATGCTAAAGAGGTCTTACAAAAAAGATGTACAAAACATTGCATCCAAACAAACTTTTGCTTGGTGGCAAGCAATCCTATTTTTTATTTTGATATTGAATTTATTATAGGAGATCAAAACTCAACTCCAGACTTTCTAACCAGAGATTTTCTCCAAAACAGGACTTGAATGATGCCAAGAAAAACTAGAAGTAAAGATATCCAAAAAACAATGACGAAGAAACCCAAAAATCCATTTGTTCTGCAAAACCAATCAAATCATGGACACAAGCCGTGAAAGAAGATACTAGCCAAATACAGGATTGGCTAGTCAACCATTATGTGACAAAACCACAAAACATTGAGGCACTAGAGAGTAGAGGCTTCAATAACGGAAGAAAAACTTAGGCTGCAAAAGATTACGGAATTACAAAAACTCCAACTTATCATGGACCACACAAAAATCCCTTATTGGTTTGCCCATTGGTGGAAACTATATGGCTCCATCCCTGAGATCCTAAACCTAAAAGTCGATGAAACCTTCAAACTCTATAAATCTCACTATAAACCCACGAGAAAACATTTTTCATCCTCTAATGCTTTTTTCTACAAAGTTCTTTTTACCTTGGGTACTAGCATGATATTTTGAATATCAACAAAAGGAGGCCCAAACAATTCTAATTAGAAGATTCAAAATCAGATGGTGGACAAAATTCCCCGTTCCATCAAGTATCAAAGCAAGCATTTCTACATGGCTCCAACAACAGGGTTTGCAAAAAATACCCCCACATCAATTCAATTGCTAGCACAAAAATCTTTTGCACAAACACAATTAGCTGCTGCAAAGGACGAAAATCATTACTTCGAGATAATGGCCCAACTTCTCAAGAGCAATGTCCAATCATCCTCAGCAAGTGAATTTTTGTAATTTTTATTCTTATTGAATTTTTGTATATTGTAATGGCCTTGGCCATATTGTATTTCTATTGGGCCTAGCCCAATCAAAAAAAGAAAAAATGAAAATTCAAAAGAAAAAGAAAAATCAAAAGAAAAGAAAAAAAATAAAAGTAAAAGGAAAAGATAACCAAAATATTCATTTGTAGTTGACAACACCATATTATTTGAAGTGGGAGAGGTCTCCCATCCACTCAATACTCTAAACAAGAAGTGAGAAAGTCTCACATCGACTCAAAACTTAACAAAAAAATGAGAATATAGCACAGTTTCAACTTCATTCACTCCCAAAGTTCCCTATATAAAAGAGATCTCTCCCCCTCAAAAATCAAGTTCTTAGATAGCAAAAACGGAGCTCTCTTTTCTTAATCTCCAATTGAACAATTTGAACAAGATCTCCTACAAAAATTCTAGAAACTGCAAATTTTTAGATAGCTAAACATGTTCAACTGAGAAAGCAGTGGAGATGGAATTGAACTTAGTTTAAAAAAGAAGGGCTTTGGCGTAATTTACATCTAACTTTCAAACCTTTTATTTTACATATTTTTCGCGAAATCTCTTGTTCGCCGCTTCAGTTGGCCGCCGCCGCAAGCCCGGAGTCGCCGCAATCGGAGCAAAAATGCTGGAGGCGAAGAGCTTGAAGAAGGCCATTGTTCCGTCCAGCTTGTTCGAACACCCCTCTCCTGGAAGCCTCCAGCCCACTCGTCTCGCACTCCATGTCCGCTCCTCACTTTCTTTTCCTCTCATTTCAAAGCTCAAATTTATGAAACGAAGCTCAAGGTTTCACCTTTTTATTCTGACTTCAAATGCACAGGTCAACGGTAGCGACGATGAAACTTGCTGGGTTTATATTGCTTCTGGTTCTTGCGTTTACAGACTCCTTGTAAGCTGTCACCTTCGTTCGAACACTTAAAATTTGAGTTTTTTCTTGAGCTTATAAATGTATTTGCTATATATGCATAGGATATGTTTAGGTAGTATTAATCAACACAATTAAAAGTTAACCCAATGTCATGGAGAAAAGACATACACCATTAGGACCTGGGTTCCATCATAAAAGTTAAACTAGTAGCAAAGTAACCTAATAACAAGAGAGAGTAGATGATGATTTAATATGTTATACCTTTAGGATGAGGAGTAGCTCAAATCTTATATATTGTTTCAATATTATAAACTTCAGCCGTCTAAGACAAATAATTGATTATATAAACTTGGAAATCCAACATTATTCTATACTTCTATAGTACAAAGAAAGAGATTGAAAATATAGGTGTCTAAAGAATGTCTCGATGGATGAATGAATGAGCTCCTGATAAGTGTTGGACAAACATGATATTATTAACAAAAATATTAGAGGCAGTTTGACCCTTAGCCATGATTTCTGCCCATAACATAAATGTGTAGACCAGAGATCTGGCCGTGAAGCTGTTTAAAGTTGGTCCTTGACCAGAATAAATATAAATGGATGAACCCATCACTAAGAAAATGTGTTGGACAATCATGACTTAGCCAATTAGTTAACCCCAACCTTATTCTTAACACAGTATAACCACAAACTTTGGTCTGGATATGTTTGATTGTAGCATGTTCTTTGTACTATAAAATATCATTTTCTGCATCCAGATTTCAACAAAGAATTCATCAGTCAGTCAAGGAAAGCAGGGGCTCCTAATTCCTGAGCAAACTAAGGTAACTGTATTACTACTTACAGTTATTCTTCAAAACTGGCTGCAACACCATGAGTCTGGTTTTGCTAATTTAATAAGGTGTGTGTGAGAAGGTTCTGGAATCTGCTGTTGTCAATAGATGTCCCCATCGCATGGAAATACAAACATTAGTGCTTGCAGAAATTGATAGTAGGTGATATTATTGCTTATTCAGAATGGAATTGTTTCCCAGCAATTTTTCTGAAATAGTTATGGTGTGGTTAGTTGTTAATAGTTTTATTAATGCTATTTATAAGCGTTTGAATTTTTTATTTTACATTTTCAGACAATGGTTTCTCGGCTTTAGGAAGTGTAGACTCATACGGACATGTTTTAGTTTCCAAACTTAAAACACGTGGTGAAGGTATGCATTTCTACTTTTCATTCTATCTTCCATCATTTTGTACAGAGACTGAGTAATGGATGACATAATTGCATTTGCAAAATGTACTCCAGATGTAGATAGTGTGACCTTTTCAATCTCTCCTCGGGATTGTGGTGTTGGAGAAGGTAGTTGGGCTGGTCTATGCTTCAATCCAACCCAGTGGTCCATGGTATATTTTCTCGTCATTTTATTTCTTATATGCACTTGTTTTGATTGCATAGTAGTTAACACACTTTTTAAAATTTCCCCTGAAGTGGGATTGAGGGTGTCAATCATTTTAAAAAGTTAAGAAGAGAGTGAATTGGAAAAGTAGAAAGATGATTTAGCGAGGGCAGATTGGGCAGTATATTCAGTTTGGGACCAATAAAATGGACATGCGGAGTATTTAATTTCAGCAACTTACGAAAAAACTGAAGTGACTAATGAGTATAGTGAAAATTATTAAAGAAATTGCCTCAAATAGGAGTAAAAACTACGTAGTATTTGGTTTCAATAATTAGGAATACTGTGTTTCTTTTATGTAAATAGTACTCTGTAGTAATTACTGTCATCCTAAAAAATACTGCCATATCATGGAAATAATATTGTCGTATTAAGGCCTGATAATGCCTTAATATGGCAGTATGATTTCAACATTGTAGAACTCTACTCCTACTTCGGAAAAAAACTCAGTACTCCTAGTTAGGGAAATCACCTTTTTTTACTCCTATTTTGGAAAATTTCCCAAATAATTAAAGGTGGTTGAAATTAAACATTGTGGTAATATGCTAAAGGTATTTGCAATGTCTTGTCTGCCACTGGTTTCAAGTTTATTAGCCTCATAATGCAATTATTTTGTGTTTTTAAATCAATAAGTGATCGCATTCTGTTTTTTTCTTTTTGATGCAATCTCATGGGCATGAGAATAGAGACCCCCCTTGTTCCTTGTCCTATAAACTTCACCAAGTAATTGGTTCGTCTGCAGGCAGCTGTTGCACACAGTTTTGGGAAGAGCATTGATGTGTATGACCATGATATTCATCTTCGCACTTTACGCACGCAAGTACCTTGTTACTTCTTTTTTTACTTTTTAGTCTTATGTTCAGCTGAGAATAGATGGATTTGTAAACATGGAAACCCTGTTATATGTTGTTGCTTTAAGATGAGTCCTGAATCAATTATCCCTCAATCCCGATTGCAGATTGTGGTACCCAACTTCACTGACTTTTATGCAAAATCTGAGTGGTCAAGGCGAATGCTCCACGCTAGCCCTCACAGAAGGGTGCCAGGTATTTCCTTTGTTTGGTATGTTAATAGTTGGTCACTTGGTTTTGTTCAGAATAATTTTTCCTTTAGTTTTAGGAAAACGTAATCCTTCCATTTCTTACATTGTATTTATTCCTCATGGACAAAAGAAAAATAGGATGTCTTCAAAATGAAATACCCTCATAAAGTATGCAGAATTGTTTAAGAAAAAACACATTTAGGATATTATAGTATTTATATTACTTACTCCTTAATCATTTCAAAGTTAACTAGACAATATAATATTCGTGCGCAACCATTTCGCTCCCTACCAACTGAACAACGAAATTTTTCTGTTGACCTCTTGTTTTCCATTTCTGAGCAATAAATATTATTTTCCCCACATATCCCCATGAATTCTCTTAATCATGCTATTATTCTCTTTCCTAGTCATTTATTGCCATATAATTTACTGCAGCTTAGCATATGGGACTTACGAATGAGAGAAAACGGAGGGTGTGTGCATAGAATTTTTGGGTCAGTGGGAGATATTTTATATTCAGTCTGTGAGTCTTCGAATGGAAGTATTGCAGTTGGTGGAGCTGATCGCACTGTTTCTGTCTACGACCCTCGCAGGTTGTGGCTTGCTTTATGAAGTATTAGTCATTCCACATATTAATTTGGCTGCTAAAGTGTCTCACTTATTTTTGTCCCTTTTGGCAGCCTTACCCAACTTATTCTGCAGAATAAGTAACTTTTGATTTAGAGTCTGTTTACAAGGGTTATTTGGTTGAAATGGTGATAGGCAAAACATTTGTAGAATTCATTTCAGCCAAATATGCAAGTCAAAACCTGACTGCTAAAAAGCAGAACACGGCCACAGCAAGCTACCAAACATACTCTTAATATCTTGGCTGAAATGAATGTTACAAAATTCTTTGCATTTCAACAAAATTCAGCGGATATGTCCATTTTAACCAAATATCATTTACCAAATGGGGTCTATATGGGGGAAGACATATTGATATATGTTCCTCTTCATTGCCCTAAACCCATTGAATGCAGATGGTCGACAGTGTCAAGATGGATGAACTGCTCAAAATATGAGGTCAGATTCTTCTAATTGTGATAATTATTTGGAAAGTATTCATTTATAAAATGTGTTTTTTATTATCAAAGTAGTCCTTTGGTTTCCAATCACCATTAAGTTTTATCTATATTGCAGATCACAAGACTTGCTTTCTCTTCATTTGATTCAGATTACATTTATGTGCAAGGAGTTGATTATGAGGTGTGAACCACTGATTTTTTTTCCTAACAATGTTTAAAACCATTGTTTATGAAACTTGTTTGTCTGTGGGGACTGGGACAAAAGCATATTACTTATTATTATGAAACACCAAACAATTTTTCTGCTCAACAGTTTTTATTAGCAATAATAAACTGGCTATGAGCCTATGAGTCTCTTATGTTATACTGCTACTATTAAAGTATCCATGCTTGAAGAAGGTTCCATACTCCCACTATTATAAGTCAATAATCTTACCACCAATTCTTTTTTGGCATTTTACTTGGCTATATTTCAAGAAACATGAATTCTTCTTTTCTTTAATATTCAAGTCAAGTGGTTTTCATGATTTTCAGCTTAAATTGATAGAGGTATTTTATGGCGTGTGAAATGTGAAAAGTTGGAGAAAGAAACACATCAATGAAGAGCATTTATGTCCATTGACAACTCTTGATATACTAAAAAAGAGCAAGTGAAAAAACTGCTTAATTCCTTTAAAGGAATGATATAACTAACAGACGATGGAAGGAGTTAGTTTGTATATATCTATATTTACATACATGCATATCTGTGTGACTGTGTGTGTATAGATATATATTGGCATTCTTTTAACACAACGTTATATACGAGCTTGCTGGACTGGCAGGTTGTGTGTGGACATTGGAGCGATGGAAAGAAAGGTTTTTCATTTAGAGGCGATTCAAACTGGCTTGGATTCAACAAGGTATGGTTATCTGGTGATTCAATTGGAATACAATGTGAGATGGATCATTGATAATGGATGGAATTGAGTTATTTTCTTTTTTCTTTTTAGTGCTGTGACAGGGACCTCGTCGGAGGATGGTGTGATTCTGGGAGCTTGTTTCTGGCTGATGTTATCTTAAGCAGCAAGGAAGAAGATCGAGAAGAATAAGAAGACATTGTAATGGATGCTTTTGAAGAACCATTGAGGCGAGGTCTGATGCTTTAATTGTTGTACCTTGACTAGTGTTTTTGAGTTTAAGAGTTCAATTTCAATGTTGTACCTCAAAACAGTCTTGTAGTTTTGTGACTTTTCAAAAAATATGTGTATTTAAATATCATTGTTGTATAGCCCTTACCTGAGCTCATAACATTTACACACCTCACTGTATAAAAGGGATGGGGATCCTTTGCCGTGCCGCAGAGAACCTTGCTGCAAGGGAGCCGTCGGATGTGGAAGGTCACGCCTCGAGATTCGGACTTCGAAATCTTTGACCGTCAAAATATTGATCGGGCGGTGCTGAGAAGCCGGGCAGAGTGCCTTACTTCGAAGTAAGGCGGACACCCCGGATCCGTATAAAAGGATGTTAATTGTTAAATGTCAACACATTATTATGCACACAATTAAAATCACACTTTGAACTTCAGTGATGCATTCGTTTTAAAACAAAATGAATATATAATCATCAAGTAAAAGTTGAACCATGATGCAAACAGGGAAATAAACATCGGAACTATTTTCTCCATGGTTTGTGCTGTAATTATTAAAATTGCCCCACAAATTTGAATAATTAATAGGAGGCCAGGAGCAACGAGAAAGTGAGTGATACTCTTAAAAGACTTGATGTCATGCATTTTTTCAATTTATTCAATAAATAAAAATTCACTTTTTAATTTGTTCCGAATAGGATTAAAATATGAACAAAATTAGAAAAATAGAATTAAGTACTAGCTTTTTTCTACAAATAGGACTTACTTTGTCCAACTAAAAACTTGCATAAGTATCACTGCATGAAATAACTTTCTTTTTGCCGTTTCAACACATGTGTGTGCTGTGTGCACAAGACTAAAAATGTAACCTTGATTTTCTCAAACATCGGGACTTGAAATAAATTTGAATTATTTTTTCATTAAAAACAACTAGAATTTTCACCCGTGCGTTGCACGGGCTGCAATTCGTAGGCATTAAATTATTTCAAAAGATATGTGAGTTTCATCAATATAAGAGTAAGGTCATTAGACTTCAAAAAAATCTTTCTCTTTGACCAATGATTCAATCCCGTATAATTTCTTCGCTCAAGTAAGATAAGTACATTCATGAAATTTGGAATAAGATTATGTAAGAGTTTTTACCATTTATTTGGAATAGTTTAGATTTTTTACCATTTATTTGGAATAGTTTAGTATTTCACCAATGTACTGCACAATGTAATATGCAAATATTATACTATCGTAAATGTTAATAATTAAAGTATATATATAGACATGTACATAAATTTGCAACATTATTGTTTACACAAATGAGAGAAATTAAAAAAACAAATATTAGAAGTTTAATAACAACACATTATAAATTGTTGAAGACCTCATTTTAGAAAACATTTTTGAATTATTTCGCCAACTTCCATCATTGCACATCACGAAATTTAAATCAATCGCACTTCTCACCCTCGCAAGTCGCAACTACAACTTGCAGTTATTCATGTGTAAAATTAGGACTGCACAATTAATCACTCACAATTTCAAAAAATGTCCATCTTATCAATAGTAACCATTGGTTAACCATATAAAAAGTGGAGAGGTATCATCATTAAAACATATCATAAACAATTTAAAAACTGAACGCCTGTGCACATAAAATTGTCGCCCAATGTAATTCATTGCCACGAATTCGTGAAGTAAAGGAATAGTAGAGGGTTTCACACTCAAAATCAATTAATGGAGAGCAACATAAATTAATTTAATCAAACCAATATGAACATAAGTACTTTTACATTTCATCCAGCCAATGCCCAATAGGACCTATTCAAAAGCTACAGGCACTTGGATCAGTTGGATGGTTTGAAATTTGAATAGACAATTACAATAATAACAACCAAACCTTAATCCCAAAATAGTTTTGTGTCAATTAACATGACTGTTAAGATAGAAAGATAAAGAATATAAGAAAGATACAAAGATAAAAAATATGAAATGATATCAATTCTTCATATGAATATCCTTCATCCACTCAGCCCACTCTTTAGCCTGTGCTCTTTCCAAATTCATATGTTTGAATAGACCGCTAAGCCCAAAAGCATTGCATCTTCACCTGTAAACCTTTAACCTAAGATTCAGCATTGACGTTATTATTTTGATCATGAATGCTAATATTTTTTCTCTGGCACCAGAGATGTCACAAACCGCAACTAACTTACCACCTTTTTCATTTTAGAGGAGAGGCATGTACATGTATGTTCCTAGTTTTGTGAGCCTCTGTTATTTTTGTATCAAACAGACATTGATGGGGTTTTGGATTAACTCCGGGTTTAATAAAAAAAATATCAAACAGTCTTGTTTATTTAGTTATGTTCAAGAGAACACACTGCATATTTATTACATGTATATGTTCTTCCCATTATTTATGCAACTATGGGTCTGTGATTATTACCTTTTCAGCTTTGTTTACTAATTCTACAATTCATAAATCAAGTGTTTTTCTTTGAACCATCACAACTCACTTCCTTGACAGGCACCTTGTTTGCTGCAAAAACGGTAGGAAGAACTGCAAAAAAGAAGAAGTTATATTCATGTGTACGCATTATGTAATAATAATAATAAAATAATAACATATTAGAAACTAAAGGCATTAAATTACATAGATATAAGAGGGCATTAATGATGATATATTGGAAACTAATTTAAGCTCAAATGAAGTTTAACCTTTAATAATCGTAATGTTAATTTTTGGGATATAAAAATATTTCTTACTATTATGAATTACCTAAATAAGTTAAGAAATTACCATGAATTGGTTTGGAGGGATAATCTGAATAATAATTCGAAGCTTAAAAAGTAATAACCTGAAAAATATTTCCCACTATTATAAATTTTCAAATAAAGCAGTACTTCATCTAAATTTAATGTGCTATTGAGAAACTTTAAAACAGGCAGAATATTATTTAATTTAGGGCACATATGGCGTGTAAGTTAGAGCAGAATATACATTATGTAATTTAGTAAATTGCGGACATCTCAGACTCTTGAAGTCTCACCAGTCACCCCAATCCAAAATTAATGACTTTGAAATTAATATTATAACACATAATTAGAACAATCTACACCTTCCATTTCAGCCTCCGTTGGTTCCTTTCAAGAAAAAATATCATTGGTTCCAAATAATTATCTAACTAATAACCGAATAATAATGTCTTAATGCAAATACAGAAATTCATTTTAAATAATTCAACCCAATTGAGTTAGTGAGTCTTGATCCAAAATTTTATGAGCTTAATTTTTTCTCTTTAGTGACGGTCTAATCCAAACTTTCCATCAATGCAATATGGAAAACTATTTGCTTAATGAGCCTGGGTTACTCAATCCTAGGAAGTACATAACAGCTTCAACAGAAAAGCCTATGAAAAATGTTAACCAATAGAACAAAGATGAGATGGTTTCAGAGCTCAGGGTAGCACATATTTCTTATCCCAGTATTCAACTATGTAAATGTTCAAAGTTCAAACTGAAAATGTTTTCTCAATCAGTGATGCTTCATACAGTTCATTAGAAGGAAATATATGTTTGGGAGTAAAGCAGGTGATAGTTAATTAGAAGGGAAAAAAAGTTTAACATGACATGTAGTTGCCTTCTTCCATGTATACCACAGAATTAAAGGTTGAAGACTAATGAAGCTTTTCACCATTGTAGCTACCTTCTACTGGTTGTATTCTTGATTCATTGCCTTCACTACCTGATGCAAAAATAACACTCAAATAAGTTAGTAGAGCACCGAGCATTTGTCTTTGTGGCTAAGCAGTCATAGCTTCTACTTTGAAATTAGAACACAAATAATTCAATCCTTTTCAAAAAATAAGCACTATTAGACTAAAGAAGTAAGAATGGAATATGATGTGACATTTAAATGAATGGCAGGATGATCTACCTTCTGCATAACCATATATACTATTCAATTGTACCAATCTACAGAACAGAAACTTGGTGCTACCTCAGACCTGCAAAGTAGAAAAATGATGTACTCCATAAGTTTCAGAAAAATGGAAATGAAAATCACTTTATCTCTCAACATTATCTAGCTGAATTGAATTCTGGCTATTTAAACACACTGCCAGATAGTCAAACATACGCTGTGAAGGTAAACCAAACATTAAACTTAATGAATATTTATATAAACTTGTTTCAATCTCTACCGACGCTAGGACTTATGCGATAGTTTAATGAAGTAGGGGATTTCTGCAGATGTATAGACCACTATATAATGGGTGTTGTAGTGAAAACGTTTTTATTCAATAATGACACTATAAAATTCTAAGGAGTATGACAGTACAATATTATTCTCAGGAAATGTGAAAAAAAGTAAATAGTAAAAGAAAGATACGAAAGATAAAAAGATTAGCTAAAATGAATATTAAACAACAAACAGAAAATTTAAATACTGTTTTAAAGTGTCAATACAGACACTATTTTAAAATTTTGATAAAAATGGTACTTAAAACAGAATGAAAGTTTTTATAAACAAAATGCATATCCAAATCCAGCAGCTAGAGTTTCTACACACTCACAGATGTAAGAAAGTCAAAGTAACTAAACTTAATTCAACATTAAGATCAGGAGAAACTGAGGAAGACACATGCATACCATCCTCGGCTCTTTTGACTTGAATATATCTGACCAAATATTTGTTATCATTTTTTCTATTCCGTAAGAACTTGCTGCATTTAAATACCAACCTCTAAATGATGATAATGGGCATAGGGAAGGATTATACTACTTGTATTATATAGACTGTAGAGTAGGTGTGTGGCAGCTCTTATAAATTTCTCTTGATGAGTATAATATAGAGCAAGACTCTAGCCTTTTAATTTGAGATAAACCCTATATTTTTTTTTATTCTGATGAGAAAGAACTGAGTTGTTGATACTGTGAGGATGTTAAAATGACCTCCAGGTATCTAAATGGGAATCTAAAGCTGGTTTGTACTCCGTATTTTTTTTCTTGACCTAAACATGAGCAAGGAGCATAATAATTTTCTCCAAGCCCACTATCGAAATTGAGAATCAATTGATGTATGCCTATTCTTGACCATTCAGCTAAGTTCTTGCAATTGAAATTCATGATAAACAAAATATATATCCAAATGCAGCTTGAGTTTGTACACTCACATGTGCAAGCCAAAATAACTAAACCTGATCCGATGCCTACACGTACATTACAAAATTAAATATGTTGACAATTCAATTCGGTGTGGAATTGACACCCAAAAATGCTGCTATGAGTTAAACCCAAAAAATAAGAAATATGATGATAATCAATTCAATTCAGTGTGGAAGGTGATGTTATCACAAATTAAATATAATTCATTTGAAATACATAAATGAAGATTAAGAATGAGATGTACATTCAAAGAAAAGTGATAGTCTCTTAAGAAGGAAGACTAAAAAGCGAATCAAATCATAGATTTTAGAACTGAAATAGAAAGAGTATAATTACCATTCTT